GCATCTGATAGTTGCATGCATTTTCAGCCCCACTTTCATGCAACTGTAGAGAGTAGCAGTGTATATCCTTGTCGAAAACGACGTAGAGGCTGGTTAACGGTGAAACGAACGCAAGTAATTGCAAAAGTTAACGGTAAAAATAGTGTCGACCCACTGCTTTCACCGATAATAAAAGCGTCTCAGTTTTGTTGCTATTCCAAGTGAAAGCAACCTGTATCTGACGTCGCTTAATTACGCTACTTTGCTGCCAGCACTTGCAATTATTTACTTCGAATAATTAAGCTTAGATTGAATTCATCTGACTGGTTAATCGCGATCGACGATCTTAATTTGAGAAGAAACTATTGAGAATGAAATCACTCGAGGAATCGAGGAAATCTAGGAAATATTGAAATCTTTGCGAAACAAACAATAATTACTCTGATGTTCTTAATAAACTTAGAAATGATTACTCGTCTCAAAAATAGTTGTTATTTGTAGTTACAAGGAGTTATGTAAGTGGTGCTGCGAGTATGTGACGAACTACTTGTTACGAAACAGTACCTTATTCCTTTCAAATAAGTACCTCGAACTTGCACTAATGATCTCATTCCAGAGTACGCACAATAATTTACGTAACGAGATAACTTTTCCAATCTAGAATTCCGAAAAAATCAATTTCTCTCTTAAATAACACCGTTTCGATAATGTACCTATGATACCGTATTCTTAGAAAATAAAACTAGAACAACCTGAATAACAGACGGAGACACCCCTCGAAACAGAAGACCTAAATTTTGCGCTATCACAAAAAGGAAAAACTTACATGATCGATTAATCGTGAATTCACAACTTCCGCTTTGCGTAGCACCCTTTTCCTTCCGCAAGCTTCAGCAGTCACAAAAGTCTTTTATACATATGATATTGCCGTACTTGATTTACATTCTTGCCATCGTTTCAAGAAACTATCACTGATTCTTCAAATCTGTTCTATATTGGTAACGTACACTCACACACGGTATCGTTATTTTCCTTTTCTGCATCGTACTTCCTTTAATTTCTAAACAGTCTAATTAAATCCGTTGCTATGCGATTCTTCGTTTCATTGAATTTTCCACATAAACATGAGCAATGACGAAAAAAAAAAAAAAAGAAATCAAGCTATACAATGATCTTGAGGTAAGATAATCATGTACACACAGTTGGTGGGCCGTAAATCAATAAGTACCGCACAATCAAATAATATTGATAACGTCGGAGTACGATTGATAATTCCGAGGTTTTCTGGAGAGGAAAGATAAAGGAGATAAGTAAAATGCAAATTCACGTACAATTGTATGGCGATTCTACTCTACCGTGCAGTATTTTGAAAAACATAGATCGTATACAGGGTGTTCCACGAAACTGGGTCACGTTATAGTTATCAGAGGATTGAGGAAAACTTCGTTAAACTTAATTAAATAGCGCCGAATGGAGCATTGGACGATGCATGTGTCGAATCCAGAAACGGAGGCGTCATCAAGTTTCTATTTAGTAGACTCTTGTTATATTGCCGCACGAATGATTTTACCTCTTTGAATTTTGCACCATTTCTACCTAAATGCTTATAAGCTTCTACGGCAATATAACAAGAGTTCTAATCAAAATTCAGCGTAAATGGAATCGATTCGGGATACAGAAACCTTAATTTCCTGGAATCGACAATGTCTAATAGTATTGTGTAGGTCACAAAGGTATACTATAATATTATCCTCGTGTCGATCGGCCAATAATGCACGATAAATAAAGTAAATCTTTGATAAAGTTATCCAAGTTAGCTGATACCGTATTAACGATATCTCTTTCGTTTCTTTTTATTTTATTTTGCAAATTGCGTTGAATTTTTATCAATGTTCTTTGAATCTCTTTGTGGTGACCGTAGACATTATTTATTATAACAGATGGCGTGAAAATGTCCCTTTTTTGCCAAAAATGGAGTTACGAAGTTTTTTAATTAGAGTAACGGTATTAGATAATATTTATATAATACTCGATGGTATTTGCTTTCAGAACACTCGTTGTCAGTATCTTCGATGATCCAACGTTAATTCTAATATTTGAATTTCAAAACATTTACACGTGTGAAATCAAAATAGACGAAATATGATTAATTTTCTTCTCTTAATCGTCACTTACTGCCTCTATATATATAATGATTTTTAATTAAAAATTCCTTCAGCTATGAACTTGATGAATTCAACCCAATAAATCGATTACTCTTGATGAACTTGTTATTATTCCATGTAATATGATGTGGTTATTGAATACCGTTACTTTTAAGCATAACACTAACCCAGACCAATTATCGGATATATTGGGTGTCCAATTTTAATCTATCCATGCAATTATGCTCCAAACTATTCGTTTTTACAAAAAACATTCCAAAAATAAAAATTTGAATTTCTACATCTTACTTTTGAATTTAAACTATCCCACCAATTATTCATTTTTGTAACACTATACCCTAATACTTTTTTATGTAAAATATTCAAAAGAATCAACCTAAGTAAAGAAAAAAAAAAAAAAAAAAAAATATAGAGCTCGATTTTGAAGAATGAATACTTGAGAATATAATTGCATGAATGGATTCAAATCAGACACCCTGTATATTCCTATCTTTCATAACCTATACCGATTACCGATACTGGTTTCTTCGTCACTGTTTCGTACATCATTAGGAAAACTTGCCACGAGAAATCGATCATTCTGTGGGAATCGCAAGCAACGTCGACCGAATGATCGATTATCGTTCCAACCGTCGATACATACGACACAGATCACTGTTCGACTTCATCGTAAAAGGATCCGCGAAGCGCGTTAACCATCGACAAAGAGATAAGATTTTCAAATCGAGTTTAGCTTTTCTTTGGTGGAGGAAATATCATTGGAACGATGTTTCGTAGAAAATGCGAGAATTTCACGAAAAACGAAATGCTGAGACAGACAAAGCATGCAAACCTGCCGCACGACCTACATGCACTGACTCCCGTCTGCTCGAACGACGGAACCTGAACTCGCTTATACGATCGCGTGCTATACACGTTACAGTCAGGGCCGTATCTCCTGATGGATATTCGAAACACCCTTTTCCAAGTGTTTCGAGCAATCTCCAGCTTCGAAACACATGAAAAATTCCACCCCTGAAACCCTTGGAAGACAATTTTTCAAAATAAACAGCATGGAATTTTCAAATTTCAAGCCAACTTATTCTATGCATAATTAGAGATAGATATTTGAAACTTTCCCTCGTTAATTTGTCAAACAATTCAGCTCTGAATCTATTGGAACCTTAAAAGTCTCGAGATAGTGGCAGAGGTATGGAAAAATATGGAAATTTTCAAATTATTCTGTGCATAATCACTTCGAAACTTCCTCTGGCAAGTTAGTCGAGTAATTTAAACGTACACAAGCTTCGAATCACTTGGACAACTTCTTTAAATCCGAAAAATCTTCAAAATTTTTCAGAAGAGTGTAACAATATAGAAATTTTGAAGTTGAATTAAAATTCTTTATGCACTTGCGAACTCTATCGTCTGTAGATTCTTATCACGACTTTGGTATCATCGTCAATAGTAACTGAGATTTCTTCGATCGTACGTTTAAGTCTTGGCGCGGCGTGTTTAGTTCTTTTTACGTGATTTGAAAAATGAAAGGTTCTTAAGATTTTGTATTTTTCAACGATTGGTTTGCAATTAATGTACGCTTTTCAGAAGCCTAGATAACGAGCAGTGTAAAATTTCGAGTTAATAAAGAGGAACTAAAATGATCGATCTTCCGGCTAATTGAACAAATGAGATTCACTTCTTTTGTTTTAAACAGCAGCGTGCGTCAGTACCTTTGCCAGAGTGACAAAAGGAAACATAGGAAACCTTTTATGTACCCTTGCACTAATATTCAACGCAGATTCAAACACAGGAAGGCGGCTAATTATAGAAGTACAGTGTAAGGTTAATTATATCTCACTGCATTATCATGCGTGTTGGTATCCATTCTTGATTCGCCCCTGACTATAACACGACTGTCTAGACCCAACCCTAGAGTTTAGACACACCATGATCATCTGCCTTGCATACAGTGGCCAACAAAATTGAACGAACAACATTACTCTCCTAGAAAATCATTTATTTCAAAAAATTTTCAGATTCAATTATCTAGAAAGCGAAGCGAATCCTTTCTCTCAGTAATTAACAACATTTTGTTAAAGATCCTTAAAACCCAATGATTATCAGCTCATTTGTGAAAGAAAATAAAGTTTCTCGTTGCTAAATGATTGAGTGAGTAATAATCTTCTATCTTTTGACGGGTTGATATATTTACGAGAGTCTGGATTGCAATTAGCCCGACTTGTATCTTCATCAAAATCAAATCAAGTTTTGATTTAAAGAGATCTCTATTGCCGACATACAAGCAACGGCCAGCATGCAACGCACCCCAGTGGATACTTGAAAAACTATGATACTTATTATTCAAAAACATTTATCAAAAAATGATAGTACAGTAAGGGTGCTGACACATGGACTGAGAATTCAAGATGACGAAATCATTTGCCAATTATTTTTTATATCATTTTAGATATAAGACACGCTCGGACCCAATTGGGTAGATCTACTTATCATAGAGAGGCGGTGGAATTAAAATTTTTCATCCCAGGTTTAATAATTAATTTCCATAAGGAGTTTGCCGACATGATTAGCCCTTTGGTGACGAATAATTTTGACAGAGTGACCCCAAGTGCCTATCGGACATTTCTCAAATTCCCAATGGTCAATCACCCCTGATTACAGAAAAACAATAACACCCAATTTTCCTCGATCAACCCCTACTTCCAAACTTCCTGTTGGTGGTACTAAATGATCTATTGAAAATTCCAAAAGACAATTAACGAGCAATCGGCATAATGAATAGGTGGCAGCAGAGGATATGAATCAAAAGCATATGCCACGTGAACGTTATCCGGCAAGATATGACCGAGTAAACCCGAAGAAGGATCGTTATCTTTGAACGATGCGAATGTTGGTCGCGTTACAACGCTTACCTTTATCTGTCAATAAGCAGACGACCTTAACGATTACCTATATGTCCCACGTGTATTGCGCATCGGCTGCAACTATTTCTGTGATATACTCGCGTGCTTCAACTGTGTGTTATTTGCGAAACGAGAGCGTTATTTGTCAGAAGAGAATCGATACGGTAATGTCAATAAGGAGCTGTACTATTCTACTCTTTTGTTCCGCTTCATTCGTTACACGGCCATCGAAAATAGACTGGATTATCTTCCTTCCTGTCCTGTGCTCATTTCCGTCGACGTGTATTTTACAGCTTAAGCTATTAAATCATTTCGACATAGACGGCAGAATTTAACGAGCTTTTCATCCCTTAGAAATGTTTTCGAAATTCTATACCCCTCGTACAGGTAGCAATAATTAAATTAGAATTTTTATTTTCATTACAATAATCACCAAAGTTGCAACAACACTGCAACAAAGAAAATGTAAACGTGAATCGAGACAAAGTAGTTAATCCGCGAACAATAGAGATTAAATGCAACACACAATCTTTTGTGTACAACACGATTGAGATTAAATAGCTGACAATGAGACAATATGCCACGTTGATCTCCGTTTCTGCTTTATCGAGATCGATCATTTGGCTCACCATTGTCGTGCACGGTGTGGGTGGGTCTAATACGGTTGTAGTCGATAAAAGGGAAAAAGGGTCGGGTTAAGAGAAAGAAACGATCAGAGTGAAGGGAAACGGAAGAAAATTGAAGAAACCTTGCCACCTTGTGACTCATCGTTAGCCAATATTGATATTAGCATTCCACTTTTTTTATTTTTCTTTCTAATTTCCATCACATCCATCACTGTAGCGAGATTCTTAAGTTACTCATGGATGACTATACCAAAAGATGATACGCGAAAACGCATCAGGCGCTCCATTGATTAAACCATCTCTTACTAATGGAATTTTAGAATTATGTTAATGTGAACTTGATTATTTAAATCTTAATGAATAAATTATAACTCCACCCAACAGAAGGGTGGTATTCGTCCATGATAGTATCGTCAACATTCATCCATTTACAGATTGATTTATCGACTTGACGTGCAGAATGAAACAAACAAACGAAAAAAGTCACCATTGAATAAAGAAAAACGTCATCACATATAATGAACACGACTCATTGGCGCTACTATCAGTTTTATCTCTGGATTTTCCTTCTCCTCCATGACTTTCCTCCTTTCCTTTCTTTTTCTCTTTTTTTTCTGAATAAATGACAAACTGCATTTCTTGGAAGGCAACTTTTTATCTATCAAACGAGTTCTTTCGACTAATATACGATTCCGAAGATCAGTTGTTTATGCAAAAATCAAAAGTTCATCTAAAATAATGTTCTCATTCTGAACGATGCATAGTAGAATAAAATCGACGATGAAAAGTTACGTAAAGGGTAAAGGAAATTGCAGGAAAACATTGCAAATACAATGTTGATAATTGTACACGCTTCTGCATATACAAATCGATAACAGGTAATTTCTCAAGAATTTTCCAACGATTAACCAGTTGAATATTCAACTATTATAATGACGACTTATTTTATAACGAAATACCGTGAGTTTCTTTTTTATTCCATAGGTCATGTGCATAAATTAATAAGTAATTAATAAATGACGACGTTGCAATACGATATATGGAATTCGTATAGAATTGAAAGACGATGAATCCTCGACGAACGTCACAACCGGGCTACGGACAGGAAACACGATAATTAATATGAAAAGATGACTCACCGAATAATCAATCGAGAAAGGTGGACCTTTTGGGTGTCCAGTGTTCGCCAATTCGATCGGTAACGTGCGTATGCGATCCTTGATCGAAATGAGGGATGGGTGCAATCAATGCATTCATTTATACCGCGCGCTCGACGGCTATTTCCGGCGCAACAAACGAACCACCGCACCGTTTCCGCCGGAGAAGCCAAGTCGAACGGAAAGAAACGGATCCGGCCGTTGTCCAAGTTTTTTTCAAAGCTGTCCGCGAACGCGGTTTTTACGGAACTTCTGCCCCAAATCCATCCGATAACGTCGCGATAACGATACGAGTCCCATCCAGTATTATCTAAAGTGTGTTCGCCAACAGTTTGCTGCACTTATTCGTTAACCTAACTTGAAGGGAAATGAATCAATTTTATTTTTAGAACCGATAATTTTCAACGAGTTTTTTGTCAAAAGGTTCTACCTTAGACTGTTCCTGGATTTTCTTAAAAATGAATGCGAACAACGTATCGCACCCCTTCCTTCGTTTACCCTTAATACTTTCGCTATATATTGTCAACGTTAAAAGTTCGATCACGCGATATCGGATACTCGATCGTCAACACTTTATTTTTCATTGCCAATTGGAAAAAACGCGGTATGGTTTTTTTTTTTTTTCAGATTGGAGAATACCAGATTATCCATTCACTCGGCTGGTTTGCTGCCAAACACGCGTTACCACCATCTGAAGTGTCAGTGTTGGCACTTGATAAGCATAGCACGTACGTACACGTATTAGAAATTTCACGGTAGGATCGTAAATCAAATCGTCCGACTTTCGTTTCCGACGGTTTCGTGGCCACCGTGTTATGTCGGAAAGGAATAAACACGATTCCTAAAATTTTCCTCAAACTCACTTATTGTCGCAACGATTTTCAAGAAATTTTAATGAAAGTCGTTGGAACTTTGAGGTTCCATAAATTTTCCATAGTATTCGACGCGAGGCAATAGTAAATTTTTCCAGCGGTAAATTAACTAATTGGTCATTCAAGATTGCAGCAATTACGAGTTGGATTATCACCGTGAACACGACAATTAAACAAAACTTATAATATCATGAAATTTGTTCTTGATATACGAATTACGTTTACTCCGTCCCTTTTTTAGTCATCGGTATATTTTGCTTTATAAATAGCTGGAAGAACGGATAATAGTTCGCTGAGAACGATCTAATGAAAGAAGAACATAAAATGATCGTAAATTTTCAGAAATTCCTTTTGCACTGACGTCACAACTACTGCGGTTCTTAAGAGTAAGTTAAAACAACACTGTTCGATCGTACCTAGGATACTTTTCGAACGACGTTATTTCAAATAACATGTTATTTTATTTCGTAATTACAGTGGATTAAAAAAGCATTAGCGCACATTCCTTTCTTACTGTTACTTTATTTAAATGAAGCTGATATCACGTAACGTCACATTTGTTATGTGTTACGTTATACTGCTCAGTGAAATTACTATAATATTCATATAATAATAATTTTATAATATTTAAACGAAACTAGCTGCGCTGATACTTCTTTGTTTCAGTATGAAACCGGAATGGTTAATTGAAATAAATATTATTCCCATCATACGTGCATAATAAACGCGTTATTTGTTTGCGTACATGAATGAAATTCGCTCCACAAGATACGTGCAGTTCTGTTTTAACATTCATGTTTAAATTTATTGTTCAGTGAGTAAGCGGTTGAAATTGAAATGGAATTTTTCTGATATTTCGAAGATAAGAACACGTCTTTAAGAATGTTTAACAAATACGAAAATGTACAGAGACTATTTTTTGAATTTAATACATTTAACCCACGATTTACACGGTAGCTCGTTTCTGGAAAAGTACCGTATTCGAATCGAGAATATATTTAACAAATTATCAGAGTCCGAAATTTTAACATCAACTGACTTGTATATTCGTAGGGTTCTGGTATAAAGAGGGATGACGCGCGCCCCGGAAGTGAAGGCGTTCGCCGGAAAGATACAATTCCACGAAAAGAAACCGACGACCTCAGATTTGTTCCTACGTACGTTACAACGAAAACGATTTGTAAGGAAAAAGCAAAAGCATGCTTGGAACGCGTATGTACGTACACAGTGACAGGGAACAGAAATAAAATAAACTGTAAGCTTCCTGAAGATAGCGCTAGTCACCATACGATATGACTTTAGACCACGTGTGTGCTCCCACAGAAGTGCAAAACGAACCAATGTATTCCGGAGTCGCGTTTAAAAGAAAAAGAAAAAAGAAAATGTGTGTTTGCAGTAGTATATACGTCTCACGGTCATCGTATCGTAAGCGTACGTAACTGAATATTATTATGTTTATCTCTCTCGATAAGCTGCACGTACGAGATCGAACGAATCGATTAAAAAGTATGCAATTGTCCGATTAAACGGATGTAACCGAAAGCGTACGAATATATTTGTAAACAATGATATCTTTTGTCGAATCAATTAACGATTGTTCTGCTCGTCAAGTTTAAATAAAGAAGAGAACTATTTTTAGTAATGGCATCTGCTAGTTTGAACGTTTTAAACTGAATTCAATTCGACTTCGATTCGGAGTAAGTAAGAACGCGGGAACAAGTGCGTTGCACTTTCAACAGGTATAAACAAAGGAACTGAAAGCGTGATCGGATAACGGTTAAATATCATTGCAAATCGACTAACCTTTCGAAGAAACGAAAACGAAGAAAGTTGCAGAGGATGAAGAGGCTGTTTCACGCCGATAGAATCCCTGGTCAGGTGGACCGGATCAACTTTCACGATTGACAGGAAATTTCGTGCTGCTCCGTTTCTCGCTTATTTTCTCTCGCAACTTTTCTCGCGCCGATATCCGTTCGAACGCGCACAATTTTCGAAAAATCCTGTTCCCGGTTGTTCGAATTTCGAGATTCGAAATTCGAAACGCGCCGATTCTCGCGGCACGAGGGCGAGAAGGAGAAAGAAAAGATCGAATGAGGAAGCATCGACGCCTCTTCTGGCACGACGATACGCTCCCTCCGAGAGCTGATAGATAACTGACCAGCCGTATCGCGTCTATTCGCCGTCGTTGAGACCGCGACACCTGGCGATCTGATCCTTGAAACATTGCAAATTACCGAATCTGTACCGATTATTATGATAATATGACAAAGTTACTAATAAAGTTGAACAAACGATAACAACTTATTTTAACGATCATCCCATTTTCCATATTTTTTAATCATCCTATCAATAAACACCTTTGAACGAAAATCTAATTTCACCATGTGATTTATGTATCTATGGAAAACATCAAATGTAACTGTTGACCCAGTTTTATTTAATGTTAAGTTTTCGCATTGTATTTTGCAAAATAAAAGATGCTACATAACGATGACATAAGTTTGCACTTTGCTTTACGACGTTCCAAACTGTTATATAACCATATAGGTAGTTACTGAGCTCTAGCGTGAGAATTATGTTGCCTCTAAAGTAATCTTTCGAATAATCTTTCCTAACTATCTAATGTTTTCTCTACAAAATAGAATTAAATTCTGGATGTGGAAAATTCATTCGACGGAATAATTAAATAACAATAATGATTACATTTATTTTTAATTTTGTCTAAGGTAATAAAACTTTGAATGGAAGTGTGTTATGTTTTTCTTAAAAAAATTAAAAGCATATAAAACATATGTGCTTTTTTTACTAAAACTGATAGATTAAATATGTAGATATAATAATACAATATAAAAAGGGTTATTTACCATTAATATTATAATAATTATATTCGTTAAGTTAGTTAGTTGGGTATGATGTACCCTTCACATTGTTAATAGTGCTGATTTTCCTGAATGGTAAAAAAAATTGGTTATTTAACAAAACTAAATACATGTAATCAATCTTCAATAAAAATGACCTTGAAATCTTTAAAAGTCTACTTCCGGAGTACGTATGCACCGTTTGATGCACCATTCGAAGACATTTAAAGTTATAACTTGGCCCAGTTGCATGGAAGATTCTGTATACTAGACTGATATTGCAGTTGTTTTGGAATACATTCCTCTGATGAATAATACAACAAATAAATTAATAAAATCAAAATTTGAAATAACAGAATATTTTGTATGATATCCTGCAGATGTCGACACCTATCTGTGTTGTCTGACGAAATAATTAAGATACACTAAATGACGTTTGAGGATCGAATCCAAGAAGAAATTTATGTAAAATTTGCGTAGATTATCGAGATATTAATGTTTTTGTTTTCATAACTTATAATTTTTATTATCAAATTTACTACCTATTTTTTTCGGCTCGATATCACGCGACGTATGCACATGTATATATATATACATGCCATAGTAACACAACGATGCAATATGAAAATGTGAAAACGGTTGTCGTTTTCGTTTCTTTCACACCTGATTCCACAATGATTAACAATGATTGTACAAGTCAGTGAAACGATGTTTGTACTGACAAATGAAGTGAGACTCGATTCGTGCTATTGATTCGAAGATTAAAAGATATTATTCTGGCTTGTTGAAAAACCAAACAGCTGAAATGGAGTCGGCGGGACAAAATCAGGTGCAGAATGCTTTCAATAATACCGATGGTACCGAAAATAAAGGAAGGTGAGACTACGTGTTATTTAAGATTGCTCAAGTTATTTAGGCTTGCAATGCAATTTATGTAATTTGTAATTTTATAACATATTAGTCTGTTTTTAATCCTCTGACCAACTTGTTTTTATTCTAGTTGTTTGTTACTCCGATATGCTAGTCAAAATTCCTTGGATGAAAGCTCACAAAAGCATATACCACGTGAAAATGGAAGAGATAAACCACCGTATAGAAATCACCATCATACAAATAGGGCTTTTGATGTTATCAATGAAATGCGAAAGTATGCAATATAAACTGTTGCTTATCGATAACTTCTTGTTTCATTTCAAAATGATATGTCTATGGTGTAGATCCAAAACTGAGAAAATTATTTCATGGTCTCATTTTGGATTATTTAAGAAAATAGATTTAAGACTAATAGTGAATAATGTTATTATATCTTAGGAAAAATTTATTATGCGACGTGATCTTGGTGGCAGATGGAGGTTTGGAAGTACCTGCGCATAAAATGGTTCTTGCTGCATGTAGCCCTTATTTTTATGCTATGTTTACAAGTTTTGAAGAACGAGACCAAGAAAGAATAACTCTGCAAGGTGTAGATTACTCTGCCCTTGAATTGTTAGTAGATTATGTATATTCTGCAGAAGTACATGTAACTGAAGATAATGTACAAGTGTTATTACCAGCTGCTAATCTTTTGCAACTAACCGATGTTCGTGATGCCTGTTGTGATTTCTTACAAGCTCAATTACATCCATCAAATTGTTTAGGAATTCGTGCATTTGCAGATCTTCATGGTTGTCTAGAATTACTATCACATGCAGACACTTATATTGAACAACATTTTTCGTAAGATCCAATAGTTTTCTCTTCTTTACCTAACTCAAACCATCAATTTTCAGCTTTAATAGCAAACGTATTATTCTACGTACAGGGAAGTAGTAGATGGTGAAGAATTTTTAACATTAGCACCGCAACAAGTCGCTAAATTGATTTGCAGCGATCGTTTAATGGTACCGTCAGAAGAGAAAGTATTCGAATGTGTGATATCATGGGTACACAATGATTTGGATAAAAGACAAGCTCATTTAGCTCAATTAATGGAACATGTACGTTTACCTTTGTTATCCCAAGAATACCTAGTACAACGGGTGGAAGAAGAACCACTACTTAAAGCAAATTTACAATGTAAATGATATATCTTTGTATACAAGGCACTTATATTGCTACAATTTAATGTAACAAAATTAAAAAAGAAACGTTCCCATTTTACACAGGTAAGGATTTCTTAATCGAAGCTTTGAAGTATCATTTGCTCAAAGGAGAACAAAAATCGTTATTTAAAACGCCTCGCACAAAACCAAGACAACCAAGAGGTTTACCAAAGGTATTATTAGTGGTTGGTGGACAAGCTCCAAAAGCGATTAGAAGCGTTGAATGTTATGATTTTAAGGAAGAAAAATGGTATCAGGTATCTGAATTGCCTACACGTCGTTGTAGAGCTGGTGAGTAGTATTTAAAAATTCAACTTGTTAAGGGCATTGTAATTTCTTATGCACCCTTACGTGATTTCTGATACACAGGCTTATCCGTCCTTGGTGGTCGCGTTTATGCCGTCGGTGGATTTAATGGGTCTCTTAGAGTACGAACAGTTGACATATATGATGCAGCTACAGATCAGTGGTCGCCTTGTCCAGAAATGGAAGCAAGAAGATCAACCCTTGGTGTTGCAGTTCTTGGGAATTGCATTTATGCTGTACTTAGTTTATTTTTTTCATTTCACATGATATATGTTATGTTATAAGTATTATTAGATTTAACTCTATACTGCATATACATATACATGTGTGCTTAGTTCATATCATTTCTTCTATTCTATACGCATAGAATATTTTGAATTTTCTCCAAATGTCTCTTTGTTATGAGATACTTGTGTTAAAACAACAGGTGGGTGGATTTGACGGTTCGACTGGTCTAAATTCCGCGGAGGTATACGATCCGAGGACCCACGAATGGAGATTAATTGCACCAATGTCGACACGTAGAAGTAGCGTCGGCGTGGGTGTTGTTAAAGGATTATTATATGCTGTAAGTTCCATAACGGATCATAAAATTTGGCAAAGTTCATTCTGAACTTCTAATGTCTATATAACCGTAACCACACTTTAGGTCGGTGGTTACGATGGAGCATCCAGGCAATGTCTTTCCAGCGTTGAATGCTACAATCCAGAAAAAGATCAGTGGAAACCGGTGCCTGATATGTCTGCACGTCGTAGCGGAGCCGGTGTTGGGGTGTTGGATGGAATTTTATACGCTGTAGGAGGACACGACGGTCCGTTGGTTAGAAAAAGCGTAGAAGCTTTCAATCCAGATACCAATCAATGGAGTCCAGTTAGCGACATGGCTCTTTGTCGTAGGAATGCTGGTAAATGATATATTATATCTTCATTTTTTCTTTGTCTGATAATTTGACGAATCAGATGTGATAAAGATGAATAATCTTATTTTCCAGGTGTCGTCGCGCTCAATGGTCTTTTGTATGTAGTGGGTGGTGACGATGGTTCATCGAGTCTAGCATCCGTTGAAGTATATTCCCCAAGAACCGATACTTGGACAACTCTTCAAACTTGTATGGGAATTGGTCGTAGTTACGCCGGTGTGGCGATAATCGACAAACCAATGCCGTCTACGACATCGATGTGAGGGTTACAATCCGCTGGGCATACGATGGAGCAGAACTCGGACCCGGGTGCCGAAATATCGGATCAATCACGGGAAGCCGGGCCCAGCGGTGTGCAAATCCAGAACGTTGATCAGAATCTACTTCATCAGTATCCAGGTCACAATTGTCGAGGACCGCGTTGTGTATGCCAAAGATATGAGAACGGTGAAGTGGCAGCCGCGATCATGAATCAAAATCGGAATAACAACCAGGATGATAATTATCAGAATACAGGTCGCGGTTTGCGTAACTTCCAAAATCGTTCCGGTGGTTCGGCACAAATGCATTCAAATCATAACCCGGGTTATCAGAATCCAATGGAGTTAATTCATAACTATAACCGTAATCGACAACAGCAAGAACCGGAAGAGAATATTTACGAGAGACTGGACAATGACGACGACGACGATGAAAATGACGAGAATAACAGGGAAGTTGTTCGCAATGAACCTGCGGCTCAAAATAATCACGACAATGTAGACGATCATACGTACGAGAGAATAGATGATCGGTATTCCTGCAGCGGTAGAACATACGCTCGTTGTTATAAATACCATGTTTTAAATCCTTATACTGTTCCCCCAAATTTTTTAAATGACATTGAATCTAGAAATCAATACGATCAGTCCAGACAATTGTATCTAGATTCATCGCGACTTTCTAGCCAGTTTTGTCAGAATCGATTAGACAGGCTGGGACGAAATTGTTTTTCTACCGAAAACATTGCTTACGCATCGACTGGACGTGCCATTTATCCGCTTGGTTACAATTTTATGCGTTTATTTTGTAAACACTTGGATGCAAGATATTTGTGTCACCACTGTCATAATCTGCACAATCGATTACGGTATCAGGATGGACTGTCGAGTAATTCTAGACAGTACATCTATCAGTTGCCAAGAAAGGTACCATTTTGTCGCGGAGAATATTCATACGTAAAGTTACCTGTTACATCATCCTGTCGTCCAGCGGAATCATTGAGAATGGAGTGTCTTTGTAGAATTCCAAATTGCTCTTGTAGATGTAAAGTTTTACCAAACTGTAACTCTACTGTACAAATCAACAGGTATCTTGATTGCGTTGGAAGAGGTGGTCCATCGGTGAATAATCCAATGTATGCCACAGTTCATATCGGTCGATCTTGTGTTTCGACTCTTGGAAATACAGTCGCTGGAGGAAATTCATCCATCGGTGCAGATTCCGGTGCTTCGACCTCAAGTGCACCGGTACCAACATCTACGGTCAACGAACCCAGTACATCGTCAAATGCCAGACAAATTTTTTCACCAAATAATCCTTCCACCTCGCAAGTCTCTGCTTGTTCTTCGAATCGTTTAATGGAACGTCAACACACTTGTGACGATTCCTGTATTAGAAATCAAAGTGGAAACGTTGCTGGTATTTGTCAATTTCTTGGTAGATGCGACAAAGCCGAATGTAATCACAGTAGATTATCTGTACATTGGTGGTTGGTGAACAGATGGTTACCACCTTGGAACCCTAATAATTTTGATAGAAATATAGACAGTGTTCCATCTGTGGAAGAAAGTGATAGTGATGATACTTAAATTTAAAGAAAATTAATTCTCTGTAATATTTTTTATATATTTTATCGAGAAATGAAATTGCTATGTTTATTTTCGTGTAATTATTCGGTATTGATTTATCACAAGTATTTAGATACCAATACATAATATTCCTGAATCCAGACTGCTGAAGTACCACAGGACTCGGTATTCGAGTTCCTGTATTTTCTATCAGTACCCTAATTTATTTGAAAATTTTCAAAAATATTTATAGAAACCGTTTATGCATGTATTGACAATAAGATCGCTTTGTATATTAATCCGATACTTTAGAATACTCATACTCAAATACACTTCAAAAATGGTGTTTAAAAGTATGATAATGTGAAAATAATAATCCAAATTTCAGTTCATCCATTCAACCATAGATAAGCTAACGATTTTTTAATTTTTTTTATAACATTTTTTCATTATTTTAGTATATAGATATTATAGAGAAAACTTATAAATCATATTGCGTTAATCTCATCGATAGAAAAAAAAGTTGTGTGTTCTATTCCATACATACGTAAGGATATAAGAGTCAATTTCATGTATGTACCTTTTTCGGGCATCGTTGTTGAGCCAAAGAGAGAGTGCTTTTATCATATTTTTATAATTTTAGTAATAAAGATACCTCGACGGTAAAAAAACACATGCATTCTTTCGAAAACTAGTTGCATAAAAAAAAAAAGATTAAAAAATATTGTTTGTAAATTTAGAAATCGTTTTAAATTTAGTGCTTCGAATTAACATAAAAAATAAAAAATAAATGTTAAGATACATTTGTTTAACTTAACGATCAATGTAAATATAAACTTGTAGAATTATATTAGTATTTGTAAGCAATAACTTCGAAGAATTTATGGGGTTTCTTCATAAACATGTAATTTATGTTTTGAAAAAACAGAGTCCATATGTACTGTATCATATAGACTATTGTATATTAGTCAGTATTAAGTTGTCCTTGTAAAGATAATTTTTTTTTTTTGTCTTTTCGAATAAAATGCATTGAATATTTGAAAATTTAATTTGAGATTAATTTAACTCGAAATGCGCACAGTAAATTGAAATAAAATATTAAATACTTGTAAGGACAACTATAGACATATCCTTAGGTATGTTGTGATTCAAGATTAAAATTAAGATTGTCCCTTTAGAAAGTAAAGTAGTTAGTATACACGACCGGACAAAATACAATTTTGCGCCTAATAAACTAGTAATAAATTTGAAGAGGACATGTTTTGGAATTAGTTTCTCAAACTATATAATATAATAACGAATTTGCCAAATGTATATTTATTTTTTGTATTTAGTAATTAATACTTATATACTGTCACGACTGTTTCATTGAATAAAAGACGTTATCGTAGGAGGACAATTGTGTAAAAATTCGTATTCGGGTAGTAACTTGTACGCATTGTGACTAAAATATGTAAATTAATGGAAATAGGTGTACTATGTTGATACGAAACCCTATCACAACATATCCCGGAACGCTTTTGCAACAGTAAATGTTTCTACGTTCAATATCCACATAGTCAGATTAAGAAAAGTTGATCACTCCCCCATGAGCGAAGGCTAACTGCTATCACTTTGGTGTTACAATGGTATCCTAATATCAAAGCATTGTTGCAGGGGCAGATCCAAAAGTCTTTTGTTTAAAAGAAGAGGGACGAAACAAAATATATTTTCAATTTTCCTTTTTCTTTTTCAACACGAGTTGAAATTATTATTCGGGAACGTGGATCGTTGGTGGTCGTCCTTTCTTTGCATATATACGAGAAATAATTTTGCTTTGTCACACGGGTTCAACGTCGTAAATGCTTGAGCGACGATAAACGCTATTGTGTTCCTGACACTATAATGGGTACCAGTATCTTGTTGCAGAGACTTGGTAGCATGAGTATTATTCAAGTATCACGGGTGTGGTCTTCATGGTCAAATGTGCTCAACAATTGTATTTTATTCGAATAATGGCTTAACCCTTTCGATACCCATCTCAAATAATTATCTGAGAATTTTTTTTATTAATCTTATTAGAACATTTGTGATTATTTCAAGTGATAAATACTTTTTATGTATCTCGTGTATGCACATTATATTCAAGGAGCTCTTTAAAGAAACGTGAAATTAAAGCAAAGAGAAAGGCTACGTTCACCTTTCCTTTGATACCCATTATATTTGCAATGTGGATGGTAATCGAATTTTATATTCCCATTTACATATAATATCCCAAAATATATTATATGCGCCAAACAACGATAAAATATCATGATTCATGATTCATGAACGAGATCGTTTGATATTTGTAGCAAAAAAGAAAGCACAACTATTCTACGTCAGAATTGTTAATTGATTATGATCGATGCTTGAAGTATGTGGGCGTTGGTCCTGTACTTGTCACCTTCAAATTCCTATCGGCCTCAAATCAATAAAAAAAAAGAAGACAATGTACGCGCCCATGGAACCGGAAATCCGGAATTTATAGTGTCGACTATCAGTGAATTAAACTCTCCCTTAGCAAAAATGTTATAACGACGTAAAATTTCGCTATACTTGAAGCATCGAACATCATTGTTATACATTCATTAAAATCAATCAGCTAAAGATGACAAACGATTCGATACGGATTGAATAATAATTTTCTACTACTGCTGCTGTTATAGTCGTGCATAAGCATGAATCAGTGAATTGTCGTGCAAGTGCAATGTAAGTGACTGAGAAATTACGAAATCTAGCCACATATGTCATGTGTGTTCGAGTGCGTGTGCACCTTCCTTTTTTTCTTTTTGTTTTTTTTTTTTTTTCTTTATTCTGTTTTAATGAGGCTGTGGTTCCGCTTACATTTATTATGTTTTGTAGACCGGTTAATTGTAGTGAGATAGGATAGTCTGTTGGGAAATTCCAAGACTTATAATATCGATGAATTGGTCAAGTTATTGATCACTTTATACTTTTAATTAATCCTTGATTCGGTCTGCTTCTGGATCACAAGTGTTAATTTCCTTCGAGCATGCAAGGAGATTGAAAATTGATCAGATTGAAAAACGATACAATATTCTCGAGTTTCTGGAATTTTGCCTGTCTCTTGGTATATCCGCGTAATACGCGTTGGAAAGTGGTCGCGATAATTCTCGGTCTTGTACAGAGGCTTCCTTCTTCCAAGGGTAAGGAAAGGTGGTTGCACGTGTCCCTCGAGTACTACGTTATATTGCAACCGTTTGTAACTCGCTCATTGTTGATTGCACAAGGAACCGAGCACGGTACATATACCTATCACGGGCCTTTGCACACCAGGCATCTGATCCCCTTCCAGTATTTTTTATCTTTTTCTTTTCTTCAGCAAAGTTATCCCGTCGCGTGTACCGATACACGCTCGACAATTCTTTAACTTGATATTCCGCGTTACGCCTGATATCATTTTATTCGACCATTTTTATACTTCATCCATCCCATTAATAACTGACAATGAGATTAATAACAACGAAAATACAAGATATCTTGTTATCCGTGTGTAATGTGTTAAGTGCATCTAAAACAGCATCAAGAACGTGCATGCCGTATGAATCGACACACGCCAGTGAACCCGAAGAAAAGACTGACAATGAAAGGGGGTCAGATGTACGGCACACGCTCAACGTGGAATAATTTTGTGCTGTTTACTTCTTCAGCTTCCTATTACGAGTTCAATGAGCAATAATATCCGTAATAATACGGTAGAAAACCATGATTGTCACTTCGGTAAAATGAATACAAATATGAGATGAATACAAATATGAGTTTTGACTTTACGCGTGGAAAATTAATTAATCATTATAAAGTTAATAAGATCATTTAAATCTTTATCTATACTGGTAGTTAAGTATAGATAAAGTTAATTTAAATGATCCTTATCTCATTCAATTAAATGCTTCTACCTAATTTATTAAAGGTATCCAATCTTACGTGACAAAAAATTATTCTTCAAATTCGTGTGACGTACGACAATTAATACGTGCTCGAATAATACTGGTCATTTCCTCCCAGTTTCCTGTGACAGTATGCCTAAGGCGGTCAAAGTCCTTGCCGAGTAGGTGGGGCAGGAATTAGCCGGAAATTCTTCGATCATCGATTTCAATCGATATTTATTATACCTAATTTCCCCATTTTTTGATTAAAAGTACAGTGCCGTATTTCTGGGGACGTAGACCCACCAAGTAAAAATATTAAATACCGAGTGTAATAAGATCCTTAAGATATTAAATACCGCAATAAAAATGAACGTTTGTAACGCGATACTTTTCACTTTTCTCTTGTTACATTTTTTTTTTTTTTTTTTTTGATATTTCCTTCAATTATTATGGTGACTTTAATCGGTAATCCCTACGCGTAATATTGAACACGATAAAATATCATAAATTAACGTCTCTAAAGCAGCTAGCGTTTCATGACATAATGTATTGTTTAATTCGTAAGAGAAATTAGATAACAGACGTATTGAACGTTGAAAGAACGCGTGTGTTATACCGTGACGAAGAAGGTGAACGTAGGTGGGCCTCCAGGAGATTCCGATACAGTTATACACCGTTCCACGTGCAAAGAAATGAAAGGTTCCGGAGCACGGTGCATCTAAGGATTCGAGAGGAGAAGGCACTTGGAAGAGGATAAAAATGTTTCTAAAAAGAGAGGAAATACAAGGATGAAAAAAGATAGATAGAATCCGTGGTAGGCACGTGATAGCACAGCAATAATTGCCCGTTGCGATACAGTTCAACTTCGTTGTGTCTCTATGCATATTTATCTCTATTGTATGCACAAAAGATCTGAACCATCAGACTAAATTGTTAGATGTAGATTCTAATAGCTTCTGAGTGTTTAAAAATAGAAAAGGAGTACATTCAGGATGAAATCAGGCTTTCTTTCGGGAAAATAACGATACAAGGGGTGCAAGAATTCTCAAAATAAGGGTGAAAGTAGAAGAAGAAAAAAATTGTTATCATTTTGACTTAGAAAGAATCTAGGAAAAGCCTACTTTATACTTTACACGAAATGGTATAAAAATAAATAAAAAGATGCTCCATTAAATGATCATCGAAGAGAAGAAGATGAAGCAATGATCGGAATCGAACGTATGGAACAGAGATACAAAAGAGAGAGATATCAAAGAGCGAAAGTGAAAGAAGGAGAAGCATGGCACACTACTCTTCATGATCGACGAACACCTCTCTTTACCCCCATTTTGTATAGCCGGTTAAAACGCTTCTCTTTCAGTTGTCGCTCGCCAACGTAGCGTTTCGTACGCTTCTCTGCTGCTCGTGTTTCTTTCGTACACGAGTAAGCACGTGTTCCTCCACGAATTCTTATTCGTTTTTCTTTACTTTTTACGATTGTCTCATTAGTCTGGCTCCATTCGAATCGAGTCATTACGTTTTCTGCTCATTTCCTCGTACGCTTTTGGTTCCAATTTTTTTCCATTCGAAAATCGTCGGACTGCTGAAAAGTGAAAGCGACGGAGAAGAAATTTTTGATTCGATACGTATACAAACGTGCTTCCGCTAAATCTGATTCAGCCCTGCGGGAATCTTAACACGTTTGAAACTCAGGTAAGTTTTCCTTGAAATTTTATCCCAACACCTTCGCGGTCGCACGTTTCATCAAGTGTACTACTTTTCCTCTTTCAAATTCGACCACTATTTTACCATTTTTCCAAGTACGCGACAAAAGCCGTCAAAGTGTTAAATAAATTACTTGGAAGAAATCAGTGTTAGATATTTTAAAAATGAAGAAAATTTGTTTGTAACGTTTCATCCATTGAATTTCAACATTCCAGAGTGATGGAATATTTCAGGTATTTGTCCGCGCGCGGCAAAGATCCACGTGAGAAATTGCGTAGAAAACGATTTTCATCAGATCTAACAATGATTTACTGAATTTACACGTGATTCATGTAAATTCGAACAAGTTTTGCTGGTCGTCACTTTCGCCCATCGGATTACTTTCTTCGAAATTGAATATTCATACACATGCTTTCACCGAAAATATACCGTCTGTATCCGTCATCCGTTAATATCGATAGTTCTGTCATCGATTTCTCACACTATCTATAGATACTATTAAGTATCAACTCTTGATATTTGAATAATAAGTAAAAACAAAATTGAATATTAACAGCACGTTTAATTTTCATTACTTTGGCTAATTTAAACACGAATTAATACTTGGTTTTCAATGAGCAACCGATGGTATTGAAAAGCCTGTTAAACAAAGAATAAGGAACGTATCCCAGGGAACACCCACATACACCATGTCTATCTGAGAAACTTAGATAGTGGGGGTTTAAAATGCCATGGTCTTGCTCGCCAAACGTAATTCCCTATTACGACATAGACATTGCATGCATTAGAGTCATAGTATTTCGGCAAATTTTACTTAAAATGCACGACACGTATAATCGTTGTGTAAGTAGATCACAGTAGTGTTTCACGTGAAACACATTTCTTCGATCACAAATTAAAAATGTAATGAAATTTTATTTGTATTTACTTCTATGAAATTTAATAAAAATTCTACACTGTCAAGGAATTATTTTTTTTATTATTTCAGATTTATTCGTGGGAAAAGAAGAAGAAAAAATAAAGAATGATTCAGGGATACTCAACGCGTCGATCATGTTGATTCATTGTAGAAGACGGAAACGAATTCCGGATGTTTCAGTGAAATTCAAACAAATTTAAAACATAGCGAGAGATACTATACTTCTCAATACAATTAATCGAACTGCGAAATTAGAGTTTCTCGAATCATTTCATCCAGTGATACTATGAACGATAATCTAGAAGATGCTAATTTTTTTATTTAATCATGATGTGTATAGTGATAAGAGGTGATTTTCTGCACGATCAAAATCACAGTCGACCAAGTTGAAGAATAGAACCTAAAGAGAATTTTTATTTACAACCGAGGAACGGGTTTGCGTTAATATTCTGAAAGAACCAGCTTTATTCTACGGTAAGTCCAAATTAAATCCAAGTTCAACAATATCAATTGAAAAAAGAAAAAAATGTCACTGTAATCTTCGTTTTCCTTTCTCCGACCTCGCTATATATGTATTACGAAAGGAACAGAACAAAGTCATTGAACTATACGAAGGTTAGAAGGCTCCTTAAAAAGCACTGATCTCTTTCCCTTTGTATTCTATTGTAGAATAAAAAGTAAACTAAAAAAAAAAAAAAAAAAAAAAGCGGTAGAAATGTCGCTGGTCAACTTCACCTTGCCGTATCAGTCGGCAACGCCTACGCCATTCTTCTACGGTGGACAAAACGGAGGACAACCGACAGTGAACAACCTTCGTCTGAACGCCGTACTTCCGGTTGCGCCTGCTCCGAATTTTAATGGACAGGAGTCCTTTCAAAACGAGCCGTACATACCGCCCGCTGCTTATCAACAGAAGCAACAGCAGCAACAACAACAACAACAACAACAACAACAACAACAGCATAGACAACGTCAGCCGATTTTAAATCGACAAGGAAGTTCAAATGCGTTCGTTGAACAATCGTCATTTTCCTCGACGCAGGACACGCGATACGCGAATTATAATCAAGATTTTAGAAGAACTCAACCTAGACAACCGCAACAGCAACAGCAACAACAGCAACAACAAATGAGACCTCCACCGCCGCAAGTTCAAGCAGAGGATGACCAAGATAATTCGAGGACATCCAGAATGCCAGAACAAGAGGCTTATCCCGAGAGACCAAATGGGTAATTTTCATCATTTTATTTTTTATCCTTTAATGAAGATTCGAACCACCTTAAATTAATCTCACTGTGGATATTTAATTGAATAAATGCCAAATGGCATGGCTAGGGTCCGCGTGTTCGCCAAACACGTGAGGTGAAAAATACCTCCCCTTGCGGGTGTAAAAAACGAGTGTAGCATGATAAGCACATTTCTCGTCGAGCAACGTTAGCGAACGTGTTAATTAATGTAACTAGCGTTGGCAGTAATTTTCCTTTGATTCGAATGAAACGAAAGGTTACGATCGTCGCGCATGACTTCGATAACGAGCGAGTTTAAGTATCTCGAATTTATTATGTTACGCGTTATAAATTTTTATCGTTTTTTCACGTCGACTAATTAGCTGGTAGTAAGTTATTTAACTCGCTCCGTAAGATGTTATCGTTTTGAAAGAAACGGCGAAAGCAGTTCGTCCGGTAACGTTAATTGCGCTCACAATTATTTATGTAACGATCAGCTGTACGGTTTCTTGTTACGTGCCACGCATTCCTAATGAACCTTCTGACGAATATCTGACGTATTTATCTGCGAATTCCCATTCCTATGAATGGACAATTATGTCATCGATCCATACAATACTGCTTCTTTCATCACGTACTTCTTCCAAACATGTATCATTAACGTGGTACCAACCGTGTATGGTATACTCTCTCTCTCTCCTTTTTTTTTTTTCTTTTCATCAAAATGATCGATAGTTATTACAGAAGTACCATATTTAAAGTCCCCCGAGATACACGTCAATAGCACATCACTCTTGATACCTTTTTATAATCATTAAACCTGAATTAAGTACTTGATACATATTGCCATTTCTTTTTGGATCGTGTACACCTCGGTAGGCACATCATTACGTAATTCGCTTTTAATTAGTGCAGAGAGTAACTTTGCTTTAACACGTTTGACACGTGTGACGACCATAACTTTTCATTCGACACACTTCAAAACGGAAGTTGTATACTCCTTATTTGAAATATTATATCTCCGTTTTGTCGAAGGTACACGAGAGTGAACGGTGGGAATGGCCCAGGTACGAAAACCTCGGTCCACGCTATTTTAGATTACGACGATGATTTCGATGATTATTACGACGACGAAGAACCAGACATACCGAGGGACGCCCATGTCACACCCATTCAAGGACCAATTTTCGTGAAAAATGGTTCGGTTCCAGTAGTGCCATTATACTCTTATCCTCAGTTGAACAATGGAAGCTTCGTACAGATACCGGTAAGTTTGAAATATCTTTTAGTTCATAGAATTCTTCGAAAATTACTGATGGTGTCACTTTTCGGGTGTTCTATTTAGAAAGTGTATAGACACGAATGTCAAGTGTAGAATACACAAGTAGATTTCGTCAAATTTAAGTACACATTGTGTCATCAAGATCTCATTTACATCGAAGAACTTTCAACAATTCGAATAACTAAATTTATTTCACACTTGGTCGAAAAAGTGATCACTGAACCACCCTGTATAATCATTGGCGTGACATTTCCCTGCTGCACCCATGACCCCGAATATCTTCCCTAGAATCTCGTAAACGTACGATCGGTTGGGTGCATGTACTTTACCTGCACCTGTCTAGATGTTTTTTCCCTCGTATATACTTTTATCTTTCTAGCCGTTCATTTATTGTCAAGTCTCACCGAGATATCACTGTTGAGGTCAACCAGTGTAGGCGCTTGTATTAAAACAGCAATTCCTTGAATTTGTTTATTGCTCAGCCATGAAGATACTTTTTCATGGGACACTTTTTGCTTCTCATTAACCGTATCGAGATCGGAAGCAATCTAGCCAATGTCCTCGGAGATCAGTGTTTCATAAAAAAAAAAGAAAGTCAAGGGTAAGATACGATTAACCTTCCTCGTTCGTTACACGTTTCCATATGCTGTTTTCCTCGATTATTACCTTGATTTTATGAAAATTATTTTAATTGTACAAAAATGATTTTTGTCTGAAATTACACCGTAAAGATCACGTGTCGAAATGGCACTTACGCTAGTGCTAGTGTACAAGCTAATCTTCGCATTCAATTCACGCGAGGGATTGCAATTGACTCGCGTGGACACACGGCATGATTCATTTCTGGCGGGCAATGCACCGCGTTGCTCATGCATTTCTCGTTCGTACAAACGATCTCGAGTGACTCAAGCCACTGAATGACGCCTACTGACTTTTCAATGGAGACACCAGTAGAAGAAGATAATCGCGAACCCCTGTACGGCAGGGGGACGAGTATCACAGGCCAATTTCTCAAATTACAATGTGATGCATTGTAATTTATACAAATAAGAGGAAACATTGGACACCCACATTCGTCGTTCTGTCATTTTTGGCAATTTAATTAAAAAAAATTATCGGATCTTCCAAGCTGCATTTACTTTGTTTCGATTTAACGTGTTGGCTGTCACGTTCGTCTTCCTGCAAAATTGTAATCGTTTCCTCAATGGAAACGTCCTTGCGGTCGTTCGTAGGTGTTCATATTGCTAAAGTATGTCTTATACAGAGTGTTTCATTTGACTCTCTTCATGCAAATCGTTCTAAAGTTTTCACAGAATGATTTTTTGGAAAACGAATAATTGCATGGATAGAAATTAAAATTGAATACCCTCTGCATTTAAGACCATAAAGGTCATCTGGGACGAGGACGCATAGGCCACTAAGATAATTTTCACATTTTTTGTTACAGATTCTTTGGACTGCACTTTCCGTTGCTCTGGGCGTGGAATTAAGGGGTGATTTGGTACGTGGTGTGCCGTGTATTAAAAAATATCATCAGCTGTTCTGTCCAACTGCTGGAAATACATACCCAATGTAATCATTCAAACAGTATGATAATTGTAACAAAATAAAATGGAAAAACGTTATTTATCAACCGCTATAAAATTCACTAGCTGTTTTAATATAAATCAATTACAATTCAATTAACGTGACGAAATTGTTTTAGAGAACGGATAGAACGTTTTATCGACGAGAATAAAGCGTTAATGAAAAGAATGTACGGTGATTTTGAGATGAATTCTGGATACGGTGCGACGACGAAAGAACCCGGTCATCGAACGCTGAAAAGAAGAAAAAGCAGAGAAGCCACAAAACAGGACATCCCAGACGGTGGTCCCAGTTTCCGGGAGGATTTGGATAGAGAAATCCAGGCTAATGGCGACTCGTTCTTTGGCAACGTCCGAAGAACCAGGAATCCTAGACAGTCATCTGAAAAAAATCGAAACGAAAGTGGAAGGTACACATTTTAAAATGATGAAGAAACCACTGATCCTGGGGTCCTTATCTAATTTCGCTAATGATTATGACATGACATACGGTAAAAAATAATAATAACGTTATACCATCCTTCAGGATTGATGCATGTGAATCTAAAGTAGAAATTGTGACGCCGTATTGGGCCAGCAACAGTGCCGGAAAAGTTCGTGCCATTGTGAATACCCAGCACTTCGAACAGGCTATTCATCAAGAAGTTTGCTCGTAAGTATGCCTTGAATGGTCTGTTAGTGAACAGGAAAAAAATGAAAATTTTTTTTATTTTTATCCAGGAAAACTAAGACAAACCGTTGCACCGGAGACTGTGGCTGCGAGCAAAAATACAAGTGGCACAGACTGCTTGCATATGATCCTGATAATGACTGCAAAGGTATCTTTATGGACTGGTTTCTGTTTCCTTCGTGTTGTGTTTGCAGATGCGATCCACCTGGTCACAAATTCACTGCGTCAAACAATCGAAATTAAAATATCATTAAGCAGTCATTACTTTTCTTTTTTTTTTTTTATTCATTTGAAATGTTAGAATTGCATTACCATTATTGACATTACTGTTTTTGTAAAATAAAGATTATCAATTGTGTATACCATTGTTAATTGAGATAATAGACCAGCAATCTGAAATTATTTTATCATTTTTTTTTTCGATTAATCGAAAGTGGGTACAAAGTAACCGAGGATTAGAATATACTGACATTTAATCGTTTTTATAGTTTACACGTAACATTATTCTAAACGAAAATCGAGTAATAGGAGAAATCTAATTTATAAACATTACAAATCAATAATACTTTCCAAAACGCCAGTCACGAGATAATTAAATATTATTCTATAAATTGGACGGATACCTGATAAGTTACATTTTATTCTCGTCTTTTTTTTTGTTTTTCCTAAAATTATTTTCTAAGAAAAGAAATGACACGAGACTCGAAAGTAGAAAAAGAAGAAGAATACATAAATGAAAAGGTGCAATGAAATAGAGGAAAAAGGTTTATCTACAACAGCGTGCAATTACATTAGATACGCGTGTGTTAATTGCTCTAAAATTCTAATGAAATTCTAATTAAAGCGTCGGATTTATTTTCCTCTTAATCACGAAATCGATCAAATTAACAATTTCATTTTTATTATACAATCACGTAGCACACAAAGTCTATATACATATGTTATACAAAAATAAATGTGATCGATCATTAAATAAACTATTAAATTAACTAAAGCTTTTTTAGTACATTGAGGTGACTACGGTAACGATCTATTTAAAACACGACTAACAAGGTGTGTCTAACTATAAAACGCTAACGAGCCGGGTCCCAATCATGCAAAATCATTATATCATAAAATATCCCATTACAAAAATTATATACGTTGCGTTTCTAAAGCAGACGGTGCGATTAAATATTAATAATAATAAACAATAACTTCGTTAAACTGGCAAGGAGAACGAAAGTACACGCTTACGATAGTTGAAATACTTTTTTTCTTCTTGTTAAGAAAATGATTCTTATTTAATTGATATGACGATAGAATTATCAAAGTTATTTAAACAATGCCGTGTTTTGATTGGAAATAACGATAACCAATGAGAGCCATTGCGAGCATGAAAAGGGGTTGCATGATTGATGCACTCGTCGAGGAATTGCAGAGATCGGTACTGCAAATGTGGCAGGATTCGATTACGTTTCGGCTTGAAATTGCCATAGCGCTGCAAGGACCATCGTGGATATCCGCTTCGTCCACATTTGGGGTCGAACACTGACGTATCACGACCCGTTCGCCATTTTCTAAAAAAAATGAATACTTTTTTCAGTAATTATTGCAAAAAGTAATTACCTCATTTTCCAATTTGACAATTAAATTCAATTAATAAATAACTATATTTTCACGAATGACATGTAATTAGGTAATATGAAAATAAATTATCGACAATTTCATGACGTTCTCATAACAGAGTATGATATTTACGTCGGAGCGGATGTAGTAACTTATGTTTGCAATTTCCTATCCATGTGAAATATCTTTTTTTTTGTCAGTATCTGTATTGGAACGAACCATTGTTGAGTGATCTAACGTAACAGGTTGTGTAACGTTGATGATTCAAAGCGTACCAAGAATCACAGTTTTGTACACGAACAGATCTACGTTTCTTTATAAAACAGTTTCTATAACGCGCAGCGAGTCTCCTATAATGGGAAACACCTCTGCCATTTGCAGTAAACACGGTCAAGGAAGAGTACTATTCTCATTAATTTTTTTTTTTCTCTTAAACAGTTAAATAGACCGCGACAGAGATCATTTCGCGAAGAGAAATCTAACAATAAGTAACCCACTTTTTACATTTTCCCATTTCTCTTATTATCTTTTTTATTACAAAAGAGTATGAAAGAATCTGTAACGTTTGCAGCAACTCGTGTTTTTATTAGACTGTCGAAGAGTTAATTATATTATCACGGTCAGTTATGCAAATTTGTATAATCTTCCGGTTGCAGTGCGTGAACAACACGTATGTATATTCGTCGTTAATCCGTGAATTCTAGTCACGTTAATACGATTAACCTTAATATTCATGATTCTATGCTAACGTCTGATTTTTCTCCGACGCGGGTGTGGTTTTGGCCTCGGTAACGTGTAATTATCGCAATTGTGGTACATGAGCACACGCCATGACTCACAATATGGTACACGGTTACGATCAAATAGAACACAATCATCATCGAGTTATTTCACGATTCTAAGCAACGTTCTAATGCGTCATTACTTGTAGAAAACAACGCCAGTACGATCTAATGACACATTGTTCAAAAAGATTTTACGATATTTATAATGATAGGCACCTGTTGATTAAGGGTAATTATAACAGAAATATTTCATTATTTGCTGTTTACTTGAAAAGAAGTTAGAGAGAATCTAATTTAGAGGGTAAAAATTAATTTCTATACTAATTAAGCTTATAATCTTAAAATGAAACATCAACTTAAGTTTGAAAGTTAATTTTGAAAAGATAATGATATTTTTTATAAACAAAGAATATATGGAAATATGAACAATTATTCTTGAAACTTTATTTACCTCTTTTCACAATTTTTCGACAAATGGGTTTCGATGTTTCATAAAATCCAGCTTCGCAAGTTTTCACATGAAACATAGCCTGATGTTCGGTGACGTTCATTGGATCAGCGCACAAAGCATTCATGTTGGAAGCACAATCCCAACATTTCAAAGCTGAACCTATTAAATATATCATAAAATATGAAATAAATAAAGTAGGTACGTGCAATATTTTATAAACAATTTGCCAATATTAATAGTGACCAAATTATTCTGCCTTTTTTATAAAAACTGTTTGCACGATGTTTCGAGATATGTAATTGAAAGTGACTAATTGTATGTTTTATTTTTTTTCAACGCATTACGAAAACTCATAAAATAATTACATAACAATTTGCATTACATCATGGATGTATTTACGTAGTAGATACACGTTTAGAATTGAATTTCTCATTGCACCGAAAAAATGTACAATAATATAAAAATAAATTATTATAATTTATTTAAGCTTTCATTCTATTCGTTATTTCAATTTTATAAATATAACATTCTATCTATTAAAAATTCGCTTCTTTGGTATTCCTTTTTTAAAAGAAAAAAATATATTTCTCACCATCGAAGCGTGATTGAAGACTCCAAAACATATAAAACACTATTCTGACAAAAATTTTTACAAAAATTCTAAAACCAACGAAAAAGAAAAAATTCTTTTCATTCAACTCACCTGGTCGCACAAGAACGACCAAACTGAAGATCACCAGTGCCCATGCTGATCTGAAGGACATTTTGATCAGTTTACTGAAAATGTTGATATATTTATATCTTTTATTCAACACAAGTCCAAAACGTCTGATTGTACGTCAAAGAGAATACCACGTGGATCAAGAACGAAATAAAGAGTAGAACTGGTAGCTTCGCGGAACGTGTTCACCGTTCAACTGAACACCCGACACCCCTCTTTTTGCTGAAAACGTGGACACGATCTCCTTTTCCCTCACTCTTTCCCCTAGGTTTCTCCTACTTCTTAGGGCACACGGCCAGAACGGATCAACGTAATAACGTCTCGTATAGGATAACCCTGTAACCTCACCGTGGACGAGAGACAAGTGCGAGGAAGTAGGAGTCAAGAGCAAACAACCAAAAGAGGTCTTTAAGAGAACGCAACAAGCGAAACAGTAATTATGGTTTACTGACGGAGGAGAAAAGCGACGAAGGAGGGACTGAAGAATGAGAAAGAGAGATAGACACCGATGAAGGCCCTCATTGGACTCATTAGGACAATTAAGGGACCCGTTGAATGCTCTGGGGGTCTTTCGTGGTTTACGTAGGAAAACAGAATACACAGAGTGTTCGCGTTGATGTAATACACAATTTTTCAAGTTCAAGGATTCATTGCTAGATCTTTGATAGATTGCAAACTCAAAAATTTTTTTTTCTTTCAATTAAAAGTCGAGGACACTTCCACTTTTTAAATGGTACCATAAAATTTTTTTGATATCGTTTCTATCACCCCCCTCTTTTCGATGGTCCTTGCTTCATCGAACTTCTAAGTAACGAATAAATTATAGATGACTAAAGGCAGGATTGCAAAGTAAGCTTGCCGACTCGTTAAGAAAGACTTATCATGGGTCAGGAGACCAGTTAACCCCGCGAGACATTACCAAATTGACTCGACAATTTGACCCCTTCTCTTCGGCCAGATGTCTGTGTACATAAATATATGTATACATACGTATATAAGTATTGCTCAGAACCTACCACCATCGATACAAAGGATGTATATCGAATACAGACAATGCCTCCCTGTTCATTCATAAAGTCACTTAATTTCCAGCTTGAAAGTCAACAGCCTTTTCCGGCCAATCATCGTCTCTTCTTTCGTCAATTAAAACATTTCGGTTTGTTTTTGACAAAAATATATTTTACACGACTAATCAAATGGAAAGTAAAATAATTACAATTATTATGTATTGTATGTATCTACATCGTTTTCACTCCGGCATTTAACACGTTAATTATAACATATTCATTTGGAAAATTGAAACGGAGTGTTTAGAAGAATCTACATAAAATGATAAATACTGGTTAATTAATTAATTGGATAGATATCATTTAAGATAAATGGACAGGTAGACTAAGGAGAAATAGAATCCTATACTATGTGGAATAAATAAATAAAGTGACTGTTGAGCGTTACAAGCGTAATCGTTGCAAAATGAGCAAATGATGTTGGATTCAGGATATTTTTCATGATGACAGTATCCATAGACTTCCCGTGATGGCACGCAACCTCGAACGGTCACCAAGATACCTCTATCTGTATGATTAAAAAAAAATGCTCGGATTAGTCAACATTTTTAATTACCAACACGATATGATTAATACCAGAATGTTATGTTAGCAATTAGTGTTATTCTTCAGGGTACAAATGCAATATCTGACGCATATAATTTATACATACAGTCAATTACACTTTTCAGACAATGTTGAGACTCGTTCTGGGGACAGAGGACCAAGTCAAAATACGGTGTAGGAACGTAAGGATCGTTGCATTCTCTTGTATGGCCACTGCTTAAATCGGTGTTGCAATCGAAACACCATAAGCTTTCTCCTCTCGCATGCTCTGTTAAATAATTAAATTATGTAGAGAAACAGATATTTACATATATAAAGACAAACGAAAATACTAAGTATCATCTATGTTACATGTATATAATATTTGAAATAGATTGATTAACTGATTACTGAAAAAGTTAAAAATAGTAATCAAAGCCTTACTTACCAATTATAATTAACATGATTATCATGGTTAAGCTTAATTGTCCAACCATGCTGGTTCCAGTATAAAACGTACGCACCGAATCTCTCCGTTACCTGTTCTTATCTTATCTCCAACAATAAAAGTAAGAATTATAGCACAATAGCATACTTCTGTAAGTTCTAAGAGAGGTAGAACTTGTGCGTATGATCTCTTTTAGATACACAAAGAAATATAAATGTTGATTTTATTGAACAATAAAATTTTCATTGAAGATCTAATACAGGGAGTCCGAAATTAAGGATGACACCAAAATATCTCATTTATTATTAATTATATAAGAAATGTTTATCTCTTTATCGTATACGCTACTGTACACCAGGAGAGTTCAATGCAAACGGCATGATGTAGCACGTTATGTTGAAATTGTTATATTGAAACAGCTAATTACAGAAACAACAACGAGATAATTGTTTAACATACATTTTTATTGCTCAATATAATTTTCGTGCGATAACATTATATTCGATTTTGAGAAGCTCGATAACATTTCACGGTATAAACACCTGGCCAAATTTCATATTCAAAAGCCTTTTCCTTTATATAATACGTATATGTTCGTATATAATAAACATTTATTTATGCATATACGGCGGAGCTTCCTCGAATATTCATCGATCGAGAACACACAATTTATTAAATACATTGAACAGGCAGCAATTAAACAGAATTCTATGAATCCTCGTCGTTCGGAACTTGGTATACAAAACTTGATCAATCAACTTATCGTTAGTGTCTTTTTTTTTTGAAATTTAACAAATGGGAATCTTCTCGTTCTTCCATTCCGGCGGTTGAAGCAAGACAAAAGACTATGAAAAAATTCATCGTATAAATTTAGCTGAAAAGGAAGTCTTCTAAAAACCTAAGATCTTTTCATAATATGTTTTAATAATAATAGAAAATTTCACCCGTTTCTTATCTTATACTGCAGAAATAACCACCGTAACATTACGTGATAATGAAACGAACTTAAAATATCGATGAACAACAGTGTAGTGTGTGTATGTAGGTGTGTGTTGAACTTTGGAATGTGCCATGAATTGATTGTAATCAATTCTATACATTCATGTGTAAAGGTTACGCGTCGGTATAAAAAGTAGCGAAAACCATGGTACCCAGGACCAACAGTAGATCGAGGAGAAATTTCGAGGTAATTATAGTGGAACTATTGCAAGCATTGTGCTTGCACATATCGCAATATTCAAGAGTGATATCGTGCGGAAATTTTCTTTCTATAGCTTTGCAAGGATCAACCGTCTCTGTCTTCTCCGTTTGACAATTCCTCACTATCACCTCTTTCCCTTTCACTGACAAACAACAAACAATAACATTTATTTGTTTTATTGCTTTCAACATTTTTCTCTATGACAGAATATTTAATATAATAAAATAGTTTACCTTTGAGAACCATTTTGGCACAAGCCATTGGTGAAGTAGCCGAATAAATGTGTGCGGTGTCAACGTCGAAGATATGAGATATGTTTCTCAAATCGTTATGTTGCTGAATGATTCGTTGCATATCTGTCATATGATTTAATGTACATTCGTCGGTTTTAATATTGTTCGCATCCGGATCGGTATCGCAGCCTGGATGCGTTAAGGAAGTGCACATGTAGCATCTAGGATTTTGATCTGTGCAATGAAATAAATCAGCTTTAACACGATCTTTATTTTCATCAAATCAATGAAAAAAAGAAATATCATGATTCATTTGATTCATTTCCTTGTTTTTCTTTTACCATTTCTTTCTAATTGCAATCAGAAATAAAATATGACTTATTTCGGTTACGTTAACCATCCTGTGCACAAGTCATCTTTCTTCGCTGTAATTTATTTTAATGTAACGATTCTTTGTTTCCCCGGGAAAGTAGATATTTTACTCCCTCTGGCGCCTGGTAGACGCTTCTATGTAGACCCACCCCCTCCCTGTTGTCCCATAATTCTAGCAAAGCAAGCCAACGGAATGTAGTTGGGTAAAGTAGAAATATTTGTAATCGGGATTGTATTCTTTTTCATTGGTTAGATATTACAGGATATGGACACCCATATATTTCTACGTAGTTATTTAGGTCGCAGAATCGTGGCGCCAAAATTGGTGACGCTACTCGCCCATCTAACAAGTTGTGACTCATAATTTGATATACGACACTTACTACCCTTCTGCATCAAAATTATTGAAAATATTCGGAAAATTTCATTGAAACACAGATAGTGTGTTTTACCTCAGGCAAACTATTAACATACTATAACGTTAACAAACGCGGTGTAAATGATCTTTTTCAAATTTTGAAAATTTTCTACAGGTGAATAATATCACTGTGACATTTGATAAATATCAAATACATACCTGGCTCATTAGAACTCATAGCTCAGCACTTTAATCGAACTTAAAGCACTTGAATACCACACAAAAACTAAACATGTGCATACTTGTAATATGTTTTAAACGTTTTCTACTGATCACAACAATAGAAACATTATAAACATGTTTATAATAAAAATACTGAAACATAAATCCTTGCATTTATTTAATGTACAATTTTAATATGACAAAATCAACAAGATAACAAAATTCATAAAAATAATCAAAATAAAAATTATAAATGATTAGTTAATTAGAGTTTGGAAGCTTGAAAAATATTTACCCTCGTCGCGGCTATTTAACGATACTCTACTGTAATATTAATACTAGGCCGCCATCCGCTTCGTGGCTGACAACATACTGGAGCGAAGCGATTGATTTGCAGTAAAAGTAACTTTAACAGAGTTGGGACACAATATAGCAATTAAAAGTAGTGTTTAATTGTTGATAATGTAAATAACCCGAGTTTTAATTTACGGAACACGAATTCAAAGCTCGCGCGATAGGGTAATTCCGATTTCTCTAATCTTTCTTATTATTAAAATAATGAACATTCCTAATAACAATTAAATTTAAGAGCACAGAATTAATTTACTACCCCTAATACATTTAATTCAATTCAAAACACTATAACTCTTTATAAGATTGTAAGTTCAACCACCATCGTTATTCAACCACCAATCATCCCATAATCGTAGCTATCAAACTTTTATTTACAATTTTCACTAATACTTCACCAATTTTCAAAGAAACAATTTCATTATTTTCTCTTTTCTATTTTCTTGTTGGCTAAACATATCTCCATGGTAAACGTAGGATTTAGAAAATAATCACCTGAACGAACCACCAAGACGAGCGCGAAGCTAACAATTAGCACTGGAATCCTTCGATGCATGCCGGAAGTTGGTCGTGAAATATATGGCTTATTCTCGCTCAAGTTTATCCTCGGGAAGTGGAACGCAAACTGTGGTGCGTGACGGAGGGTGAAGCACTGGCTGAGAGGAAGGGTTGTCGTCGAGTCGACAGACTGATCGCGAGTATGAGATTGCGAGCTTCGCCACTCACCAACGCCACTCCTTTCCTATTTTCTCCACTCCACTCGGTTTTTCGCTTCTTTGCCACAGATCGCATAATCGCGCAACCCGTTCTACTGATTCGCCCCAACCCTTCGATCCCTCCTAGATCATCAGGCATAGATCACCGCTGCGCCTCCGCTATTAATACACTTCTAAACGCGAAAGTGTCATTTCAATCCACAAATTTATTAAACCTGAATATTTTTATAACTAAAAAACACCTGGTCCTAATTGAACTTTTTTTCTAATAAATTAATAACAAGTGAAACAAGAGTACGAAAGAAAATTTGCATTTTGTATAAAAAATGCAGTTAGAATTTATTTGGCATGATTTTCAAATGTTTCACACCAAAGTAGTGAAGTAGTATATAAATCACGGCGGTAACGATTGACGAGGGGAGGAAAGCGTGGATACGTTGAAGGACGTTAATTGTCTATTAGCCTAATTATAGTTAGTAACATCCATGACAAAAGCAGCACACAGACTATACTGTCATAATATAAGACACGTAACTACGTGACTTATAGGATAAGAAACGTTGCAAAATTAATTGGAAAATAAATTGATTTAAATAAATTATCAATCAAGCAGTTAAATTATCAAATATATTACGGACTCTGTAATAAGTTCAAAGTTGACATCTTATGTAAAATGAATTTCTATCCTCGTTAGACAACATCACTAATCATTCTTATATCATTTTTCCACTGTACAGGGGAGTGTGAGTAAACTCCGTTTCTACGGTAAATCGGTATCACAGTAAAGAAAACGGATAAAGGAGAAAGATGAAAACGAGAGACGCCTGGCGCCACGGCGCCTATCTAGGACGCCGTCGTCGCCGTCTAGCTCAGTTTTGGGTTTAGCAATTACTAAGAGAATTCAACGCATTCTTCTTTTACTCGCAATTACGTTCGATAGCTTAATCTATTTAAAATACTTATTTTGCTTTCAAGGAAATTTCCTTCAAGATTGAACAGTCATCCTTTATTTTTATCTAATTTGCTTGTTAACGTTATACCCCTTTGAAAAGGAGAAAGAAAAATACGATTTCAGCGAGATGCTGGCCAACCACACTTTACAAGAATAACGCCTTTAATACTAAATAGTGGATCTGGTAATAAATGGGTGGCACGTGAAGAACTTATTTAATGGTTACCACCCTCACTGCATCTCACTCTTTAGTTTCTTCCTCTCAAGTGTTAAGAACGAAACGATAACCACACCTAACTATAAAGATTAAAATTCATTATGTCAAAGACAATGAAAATTTCTCAATTACACTTTATCGGATTAAATAATCAATTTAGTTTATTTTCTCATCGATTATTCCTTTTGGGCGAATGTACTGTTTGAATAACTGCCTTTTTAAGGTCATAAATTATTCAGTAATCGAACGTGCAAATTCATCTATGTACTTTCAATCAAGTCCGGAGTAAACAGTATATTCTAAATAGCAAAAATGCAATATCCAGAACAAAGAACCGATAAACCTTGTTCCAAAGAAATACCAACTCTATGGTGTCCGTTATCGCAATAACAAATTATCCTCGCGAGAAATGTCCTATAATGCGGATAATGTCTTTGGCATACATTCAACGTGCATTCGGTACAATCATTTTAAAACAACAAATATCTTTGTGTTATTTACGACGAAGAAACAGTTGAAACTAATCAAACATATGGTACAACAATTTTTAATAAATTTTTAATGAATACGTGATAATATTCTAGGATACCTGTTACATGTATTAAGCCTACTCTTTACAAAATTACTTGGAAAAAAAAAAGAAAAGAAAAGCGATTGTATTCTGAATAACAACGTGTCGGCATTTAACGTGTCGATAATCATATTACGGTGTGTTGTTCTTGGCTATTTTTACTGTGGCAATTAACGCGTTAATTTAGTTAACACGTTCACCGCCTCAGTGGAAATAGCCGTGTGCGGTAAGACATGCTATAACTGCGATTACATGCTCAGAATATGATCGGTTCATTTTTCAATTTAACACAAGTTGACTGTCGCGAGGGGTCTCTGGTTAGTGCTACGAATCTAGTATCAATTGTTTGAATAAATAAAGGAAGAAAAAAACAAAACAAAAGGAAAATTCAAAATTGTGACTGTAATTCGAAAACAGAAATTGCTAGCGTGCAATAATGAAATGGTGAAAAGTGTTCGAGAAGCGTCAGGACGCTTGGCGCCACATTGCCGCGACCCAAATAATAATAATACCGTCTAGGAAAGAGGGTCGGAGACGCTGTGTTGATGGAGGACGAGGAAGAACGACCGTACACTACCTACATTTGCGAATCTTGGACATAACCAGTCGCCTGTTACATTTATCATCTGTCACTCAATACGAATATTTTACGAGATCTACGTTTTGATAACCTTTTTATACGCCGTTGAAAGATTAACGTACGATCATTTTTGCGAGGCGTCAGGAAAATTCTGAAACGCGTTTCTATTTTGACACAATAAAAATATTAGGGATACTAGAAGAAGATTAGAAGATATCGGAGAAGCCTGAATACCCTTTTGCAATCGAACAGTTAATTTAGAACTCGATCAAGTGCGTGTATATCAACGAATATGAAGGTGGGTTCAAATAAGAGAAATGTCCTGTGCTTGAAAGGAATTTCGTATCGTGGAGGACATTATAGGACCAAGAAAGTTTTCTCTTGTTGATAAATCAGCCGACAACACCCACGAAATGGGTTCCCTGGAAAGTTCCAGCGAGTGAACATAATAATAAGAATAACGTTGTTGGTCAGTTGGGATATCGTTTGTTCTCGATAATTTACCATGAAATCAATGGGAATAACCGAGTGCCCCCGTCGATTTTCAACTTCATCCTAAAGCAATACAATCCTCGTGTTATTTTTATATTTTATAAATAATACTGTTTCTTTAAATTTCAAGAAGTTGCTTCTAATTCATCATACCTTTCTGATGCTCATTTTTATTCAATTGGTACTTATCTCACTCGTTTTCATCTAATATAAAAGCTTCTATTGGCTGAACGCCAAGAATCAATGGTACCTAATATTTCAAATACACAAACTAGCCTTTAGATTTTACATAATCTTTTTCTTTTTTATTAGAAAAATTATTTCTGCCTGATACTTCTTGCTTCCGAAATCTTATTAACGTTTTTTTAACATATATGTATACTGGATCATTTTATATTTCACACGCAACAGATCATATCTTCTGGGAAAGTTTTCCCTCGTCTAAGCTTAGGTCACGTGGGAGTTAAAACAAAAAGAACAATTATTGGACAGAAAATATAAAGAAAAATGATATCCCTCGATGAGTATCTAGTTGACCGATTGCATCCTACTCCTTTGCATTCGCAGACCAACTGATAAGTGTCACGCGTATAACGCCCTCTGTAACATTCCTTATCGGTATTTCGCCATTTCGCACATTCACGCACAGTTACGTATTCCCGGGAGTTCATGAAGTGATCTGTAAATCAAACTTGAAAATTTTATTTTCTGAAAATTCAATCTTTTTAAACGTTTCAACTTACATATGTATACAGCTTTACGACAAAACGGTTTAGACAGTGGACACGTCTTCAAATGTTTCATATCTACCTTGTCGACGGTACAATCTTGGTCCTTTCTACTTTCACACTGATAACATTTGGTAGCTTTCGATTCTTCTTGTTCATAGTAACAATAATAAACAATTAGACTCTTAACTTTATTTTTAAATTCGTGCAAGATCAAATTACAATGAATTTGATAACTGACTCTCTAAATGCTTCTGTTTTATTTACTTTTATATTCACAAAGAATAATTAAAATTTACCGCATTTATTTAGTATCTACTTCATTAACAGTTAACATCAACACATCCTTCTTTATCAACGAAAGATAAGTGCATTTGCTTCATGGAACTTACCTCTTTGAAATAGAAACAAAAGTAATAATACTCGTAGCGCATTTAGTTTCATTTGCATCATCAATTTGTTTTACATTTATGTTTAAACTTCCTGATTAAAAAAGTGGAAAACATATGTGCAGCATTAACACCAACCGATTGTATGAAATAGTAATTTTGTTCGTGGAAATAAATCATAACTTCAGGTACCTTGATACAATTCTTCTTTTAATCTCTAAAACATAATGATGTATATTATAATTAATAAAAATAATCATCGTGTCTGGTAAGTTAGGTTATAAATACCTTTACAAATGAATCGTTCATTACAATGAAAAATTTCCTTCCTCTCTCTGTATTCACATAATTAAATATATTACTTGATTTATGTGTTAGAAAAATTGCTGATAAGCTTGACTGACGTTCAATAAAAACAATTAATACAATGTAACAATTTGTTACGTCCTCCGTTTTATAAACTTACAAAATACTATTCCAGTATGAACGTAACAAATAAAATCGATAGGTTTCGATTTTGGTAATTCACGAAATAATTAGTCCCTAAATTCTCGTCTGAAATCGAACGCTCGAGTGTCATTGAACTGTTCAGTTAGCTATCCTGCAATTTATTCAGGGTGTCCCGTGCAATTGGGACAAGCTATAGCTTTAAAGTGGTAATAGTCAAAAAAAAATTTTTATTAGAGCATCACCTGATGCATGTGCCGGTACCGGAAGTGGAGGCTTGTTAAACATTTCAATGTCATCGTCACTTCTTTAAATGGAACTCTATACTTTATATCTCATTTACTCAGACCGCTATCCATTTACAAGATAACTCTACTCAACCATTCAAGGTTAATGTTATATTTTATACGCAACACGCTTTTATATTATTTCGCTTCTATCGAAACTGTTTCTGGAATCAATAATTAATTAACTAAACATTTGTTACGTATAATTACAATATACTTGTAACGTTAATTCTTCGTGTTAAGAAAGAACGAAATATTTACCGTGTAGAACATAATCGTCAAAGATGTGTCAGGGACACGGTATGTTGCTAAACATGTTAAACACATGATAAGTAACGCATAGTGAAAATTATATCCCAAATATAATTTTCAACAGAGACGAATACATTTTCTGTTTCTCTGTCGAATCAAGATTTTTTTATACAGCCGTATAAATGCAACATTTAATGATACAGTAACATCATATAGTAATGGAAAGATACTTCTTTACTGTTATGAATGGAAAAGGAAAAAGACTGTTGCAAATACTCTTTCTCTCTCTGTTACGAATTAAAGGGAAAAATAAGAACTGGGGCACATGATATGATAGGCCTAATAGCAACATGGAAGGATATCTTCCACATTCCTTTCCGTATTGTTCGCGTGCAACTTATTACACTAGCTTCCATGACATTTCATGACGTTCAGTGTGTCACAGGAAAAGGGATATTATCCACTTAGAGTGTTCCAAACCACCACTTTACGCTCTATTTGAGCATAAAGCTCTTCGTACCGCCCACGGCCTTCCCTATTTAACTTGAAGCCCTGCTTTATCCGTCAAAACAATCCTACCTAAAGTTTCTTTTATAAATTAAGTTGTAAATTAATTGTAAAATTAATTCCTAACGTCTGAAGCTCTGGGACAACAGGATGCACTGGTTTTAACAGAATCCATAGGAAATTTTCAAATCGTCTATGACTGCTATCACTCTGGTCTTGTTGAATTTTGATTTCAATTAATTATAATGTTTCTACATCACCAGTTGTATGTATTCTATGTTACAATTTGCATTCGAGTGACTCGTATTTTCAAAAGTAATTGTGACCAAATTATCCTTCATTCAGATGATTAAAGTATATTTTTCAAGAGATCCAGAATCACTGAACCACGATAATAAATGAATTGATGGCCATCCCTTCTCGATTGGTCGGTGAAAAATATTGATTTCCCTAAGGGTGGAAAACGAGCAACGATTAAGGACGAGTATATCAGAATCACGATCCACGTACGAAACTTTCCCTCGGTCGTGGTTAGATCGTTTGGGCCTTGGATTATTCGTAACGAACAGTTCAGTCGGTTTTTCCTGTCCTCTCGCCACCTCTTTGCCGACCACGGATGTTCTTCGAGCGCAGTCACGTACATATTCATGGTTCTGCCAGTGCTGCGAGCATCGTCGCCTTGGTTGCGGACTTGCGCTGAAACCGTGTCGTCAAACGGCCACCGTGAACAGTGCTTCAGCAGCTGTCGGGGCCGAATGGTTGGCCTCGTCAACCCTTGATCTAGCCGCTTTCTCTCTCTTTCTCTAACTTCCGGTTTCGACTGGCCGAGCGGCGTACGGGTCGCGTGTAAAGCTACCACGGTGACCGCGAGAGGAACGGAGTTTGATCGTTGAGGGACGTGGAAGGATAACCGATACCAACATGAGACATTCACTCGTCCTCGTCTTGTGCCTCCTGGTCATTTTCAGTTTTTGTGGTAAGCGTCTACCCGTTATGCCTAGAGTGTGCTTGGTTCAACAATTAGGGCGGTTTAACCAGACTTCCTTATCGATCCTCCGCGTCCTGCGTTTAAACCTACTTTGCCTCATTTACCATCCCTTTACCACCCTCGTTAATCCTTCTGCGCTATTCCGATACTTTTCCAAATATTCTTCGTGTATCTTGTAATAGATTTCTTCTAAACAGAACGTTTCCTTCAGAAATTATTGGATTTTCATTTACGGTTAATTTGATCCTAACGGTGTGTGAGAATTGATTGAATCGTGCTACAAGGTATATTGATTAATATCGAGTATTCTTTCTACCAACGATTAATGCTATTTCGTTTCATTGTGTTATCGTGAATTTGGGTCACATTTCTTATCTGTTTACAAAAAATTGCCCATTTAAATTATTTGATTGAAATAAAAAGAACTAAATACTTTTTAAAATTGTTCAAACGCAAGTGTTAATACAGGCAATCTTCGGAATGAAATAATCCAAAAAAACAAGTGTTTCGAAAAATGAAAATGATTGAAGGGAACGTGATTCTCGACGTAGACACGTCCAAAATCAATGGCGATGAGCTATGCGCACAAGAATTACGTCTGCACTAAATTTTGACCGAACCGTGAATCGTCTTTCTTTTTCATTTATTATTAAAAGAACGTTTCAACATCTAGAATTTAAGCCAATAATATTTTCTATCTTCAGTCCATCTTCCCAACATTACTCTCATGTTTAATATAAAACACAAAAGCTTTAAAACAAAAATCTATTATTCTACAGTTTGTACTATGCTGCTATTGCACGTGTTTCTGTTGCAGTGAAAACATTTATGTTTTTATATTATGTCATGTTTGGAACGGTGAATGATCGTGGAAACAAGATTAGAATGCGCGGACAAGCAGTCAACTTATTGTGGTTACGCTTTTCTAGGGCAGGTAGCTGCATTGATTTTTATATCAGTTAGGGTCTCGAGGACGATGAACTTTCTGTTTCACGGGGCAACAAACATCTCTACAAAGTTCCATTTGTATTTCATCAAACTAATTATTTTAAAATACGAGTACTTTTTAAAACAAACAGGTGCAGCACCTGTTAATTGAAAAATAAAATTTAACCTATATAGATAGTTGTATATAGACAGTGATAACTAATCATACAATTGCAAACTGTTACATTTAAACACGTAAGAATAATTTAAACACGTACGACTCTTTAGAATAAAACGATTGATCGTCGTATTATCTTCGTCTCACGCTGACCCCTCTTATCAGTCAGCCAATAATGGTCACAGCCTCGTGCTTCGAATAATATACATACTGACGAAACTGAAAGAAAATTTTAATATTAATGATTCTTCATTGTATTTCCCCTTTAAAGTCTGATCGATGCTGGAAATATTAATAATTGTTTATTATTTGTGATTTTTCAGGTATAAACGCGATAAAATGTTACCTTTGTAACAGTCACACTGACAGCCGATGCGCTGATGATGTCCCTCCTGATGCCCTGAAGAAAGATTGCGCCGATCTCAAAGACGGTGCTAAATACACGATGTGCAGAAAGATCAAGCAAGTGATTGAGTTTAGCGTTAACGGACGTAAGTTATTTCATTGATCTTGAGACAATTTAAAGAAAATGTCAATTTACCTTATTTTAATGTTATTCGAAACAGTACCACCTGATACTCGAATTATAAGAGGCTGCGGATGGGACGAATCGAATTACAAGAAACGATGTTATCAACGAAGCGGTTTCGGTGGCCGTCAAGAGGTGTGCTCGTGTTTGGATGATTATTGCAATACGGCGACACCGAACATCCTGCCGCCGAAATCATTAATCCTGTCCTGTGTACTCGGCACTGTTTTACTAGCATTCATTCGTAATTAGTTTCAAGGAAATTAAACCTATTAACGAACAGTCTACGAAGAGATGGGTTCGAGATTGTTAGTACCTACCTACAGGCAGCTTCGACTTCGCGTTCTTCGAGAAACAGAAGTATACGGATGGATAACGGAACGAGTCTCTCATTGTCAAAGAAAGTACAACCTAATCTCTGGTATCGGGTAACAAAAATTTCAAAGTGAAAAAATCGTTGTTGAAGCGGCCAAATATTCTTGCGTTATCTATCGGTAAACAAAACGTTGGCGAATATGAGAAGGAATGTTGAAAGGAAATTCTAGAGACAGTGCAGTGGCTTCCTCTTGTCCATTGGTTAAACATTATCGTAGTTCTAGAGATAAAACGTGCACACTGTTCCTGATTGCCTGTTCATTTTGAACTCAACTCACCATGGAAGAAAATTCAATTCATTATCACTCTCTTTTCGAATCTTGATGGAGGATATACGATCAAATCGTTTCCCAAAAATTGTTTTTCAAAGAAAAAAAAAATATATCGAACAATTTGGCATAGAATTGATTTCTCTGCTCGATATTTACTCTGAAATTCTTCCAGAATCTTTTTCCAATTGTACAGGTATTCAGGAACGGTACAATTTTTGGTACTTTTTGCGATACGTCGAACAGCTTGGCGAGCACTCCTTGATCATGCATAATTCTTCTTGAGAAACTCCAATATAGGGTGCTGAAGGTGTGACAACAGTCGCATTGTGTTCACTCGACAATTTTTTGCGTAGAGCTTAAGAATGATATAACACACAAGTAACAATTACGCAACTTGTTAAAAGTCAATATGTTGTGACAACGTTCGCGAAAGAATGGGGAAAAGAACATCTGTATGAAATGTTTTTGCAAAGCGAGGAAAATATATCAGGGTTGTCGTTGCGGAAACTAACGCGTCTATTAATTTTCCTTCATCCCATTGTTTAAACTGTAAGGTAGAATTTTTTATAAGTCATAAGAAATTAAATAGTCGCTGAGTAATTATAATTTCTTAATTAGTTTTCTTGTACGTAATTAACGTTTGTATTAAAAATTCATTCACCGTAGAGAAAAATGCTTTAACCGTACGTCAAATTTTTTTTTCTCGTTTCATTGTTCCAGACAGAAAATTTTTGTTTCAAGTCAATAACTAGTTATCTGCCATTTTTCTTCACGGTGTTCGTTGACTTTTTCATTCCATACATTATCATTCGCCCTTCAGTATGTACATAAGTGTTTCACCGCTTCTGATTTACATGAAATTTTGATCCGATTTTCCGTGAAAGAAAAGTACAGAAAACGCCGAGCAAGAAAATGCTAACGTGTACATTCATTAAACCGAGAAACAGGGTGAAGTGATTTTTAAGAAGTTGTGGATCAACTACGTGTTCCTTAATTTAATAGCAATTCCATTTGTTAATTATTCAAATCTTTCCCTTTCTTCCAATTTTCTACGTAAAATATTTATTTAAACTCATTTTACCTATTTTAAATCGTATCGTACATACAGTCTTCCGGTTTGTCAATTATTTTCTTCTCATTTGCCTTGTTGCTCGCACAATAAAACGCAAATGGTTTATTCAAGAAGAGTGAATAACTATTCGGATATCAGGTAAAGTTAAAGCTATTCCTTATATCTGTATAGAAAATAAGATATAAATAAATAATGTGCTTAGGTTAATAACATGTCAACTAACATGGCATGTGCCTAGATTCATTCCATTTGTTAAGAGCATCTGTTACAATTTTATTTCAATCTTCAATTAGGAGCTAAATAGGTCCAAAGAGAAAGAAGATTATTTTTAAGTTGGCGTTAGATGGATCATGCACCCAACAGCTACACGACATAACCGATCGTCTATACAATCAGCCGTTCCACCTACGTCAACACCCTCGCCCATTGTACATCCGCAACAACAACAGCAACAAATTCTTTACGGTCCTATCCCTAATCCAACATTGACTCTTCAACCATGTGGAACTAGTTTGCATCCGTCTTGTATTTATTCAGGAGCACGTCGTAATGCTGCATTGACTACTCCTGTTCCTTTACACATACAAGGTGTAAATACGTTTCTTTTTATATAATCTCCATATATTATATAATTCACCTCTAAAAACAATAGTTAGAATCCTTCTATTTTGAAAAATTAAAGGAAAATATTTCTACTGATTGTAGTATCGAATATATTATATTTATCTTAAATAATGATTTCAGTTTTCTAAGATTCTCGTACAAACCCATCCATGAATATAGGCAAAAGCAGCAGATGGCCACCCAAGAATAAACTCGTACGAAATCCAGAATATTGTCAGCAACAACAGCAACATATTCAGCAACAACTATCCTACAACCCGAAGTCTTTGGTTCTGTTTGATCAAACAACAAATACTGCTCCGGTGCCTGCACCAACTGCCTCGTTTTTAATTGCCTCCTCAACCTACACCCATGGTTCCTTTTCTGGGGATCAGTACAATTCTGGAATCACTTTAGTACCACAAGCTTACTTCAAGTCTCCAGATGTTCAAACATTTTGCCTACTCCAAGATCGACAACAGCAACAGCAACAGGAACAACTGTCACATGGTTCCTATTACAATGTTTCATCCACAAACACTTGCAACTTGCAAACCATCAATACCAATCCGCTGTATCAATTTCATAACCCGAATCCTTACGCATCCCCAGCAAATTATTCGAATCAAATCACGAGCCCGGTTCAAACGTCTCAATCGAATCAAATCTTTCCCAATCCTCCGGTGAACTTGGTCTTTGGAAATCTGCAAAGAGATAAATCTGCGACCACCTCCGCCACCTTCGACATCGCAACATTTAAATGCGGTAAAAACCGATTACCAGCAGTGAACGATTCTCAAATTCCATCAATAGCTGTAGAGAGTTACAGTGAATGGTCATCGCAACCGACCACCTCGTCTGCTAATAATTTATTGGACATAAAGCCAAGTGCGAATGACGCAAAACCAGAAACCACGGCGTACCCTTTAGAGAAAGCTGTTCCAAATGTACCTACGAAAACCCAAGAAGAACATTATTCCGACGAATCTTCTGCCAGCTTCGATTTCACCATCGAAGCTGAGAAAATGGTCTCGGCGCTTTGCAACACATCTTCCAACGACATCGGTAAAGATGAAACGAAGAATGATAAATCCGATTCGGCACCGTTGTTCAATGGCGCTGGTGACACTATTTCGAACAAAAACACATGGTTTACCGATTTTTGCGTGGATTACGGAACCAGCACGTCGAAAGCCGTGCAAACGGATGGAGCAAACATCGATCGAGCCCAGTACCCAGAATTGTTGCGAAAAGTTATTTACTGGGGATGCACGGAAGCCGAGGTCGTTTTAAATAATAATTGCAAAATTAATCCAAAATTCGGTTGGCTAAGAAACCTTTCCACCGCCACTAAAACGGCTGTTACGAAATCATCGACGTGCTTTCCGATCTTCGCCGGGGATCGTGTATTCGTCAGCGATCTGATAAACGCCTTGTTACGAATCAGTAACGGTTGGCTTATCCTCGACAATTATTTAAACAAGCAACATTATCCGAGTTTAGACGACAAGCTCAATTGCGAATTGATTAGATGCTTTCAACAATGGGAAGAGAACACGCACGAGCTGCTTAATCAGATTGTCCAAACGTTTATGAAACTCGAAGAGAACGGTGATACTTCTACGGTCGAGCAAAAACCAGAATCATTTGGAACCTCTTTTCCAGGTGACGTTTCAGTTTACACGAACCACGACTTGTTTGATCCGTCTTCGGGCATGAAACAAGAATCGGCTAACAAAAGGAACGATCAAGACCCGCCGTTCAATGTCGCTCAGTTGCCGAGAAGCGGAAGTCTGCGAAATTTCGGCCAGTACAACGTTAATCAACCGAGACAGTCGTCTGAGAAAGAAACAAAATTGCGAAGTAAGTGGACTATTACTGACAATGAGAATGTAACGACAATAGACAGCACGAAATCCGTGGGTGATATTTTCCCAGGGCACGTGGAATCTGGAACTCAATCGAACGGTAGATTTCGTTCGAGAGGAAATCCGTCCAGCGCAAAGACCGACACGTCCACGCAATCATTGAACGCAGAATTTTTTCACCTGAGAAGCAAAGTTCTGACGGAAAGTAACCAGGAGCCATCCAGGCAGTGGACGTTTAAGGATAAGAAGGAAGAACTGGGTGAAAACGGTTCGTCGCCACGGGAGAATGTCGATTCCATTTTTCGATTACAACAACGACAACTGGATGAAAATTACGAGTCCAGTTATGCCCAGAAATGTTTATCAAAGATGGAATCGTCGTTTCTGAACCCTTCGATTAGCCAGCAATCAATGTATTTTACCTCGAATAACGAGGCCGAACATTTTTATCCCAATTATGCCATTTCTCCTTCTTACACGGTAGATTATGGTCACAAACATTTGAAGAATATCGATCAGAATCACGGAAGCAAAGGGAATATGGATTTAATTTACGTTGGTAAATCGTCGACCAGTCAACTGCAATTAGCAGCAGTTCCAAAAGATAAAATGACGTTGCTCAGTCAGATTGAGCCAAGTGTACCGGAAAAATCGTCCGAGGAGATGACTGCCAATCTGTCCGCGTGGTTCGCCAGTATAAGAAATTCTGATAATCGTCAAATGTCGTTTATGAATCTCGCCGATGGGAATATGGAAAATGTAACCTCGCGAACAGCCGCTCGTCACGAAACGTCAAAGGACCTTGGTAATTGTATCAGACAATTACAAATCGATGCCAATTGTCAATTCCAAACGTTACAAAATATGCAAAGCATTCAAACGGCACCGTGGAACGCTTATAATCTGATCAATAACCGGATCCAAGTACAGCAAGTTCCGGAAGAATACGACAGCTCCGAGGACGTTCGAGTGTACATGAAACCAGGAAGTTACAACGTTCCAAAGAAAAGGCATCAGAGAAGATCGAATCGTCGTTTGGACAATTCACGAAACGCGGTCGGCGAATCTTCCGCTAATCATCGGAATCATTACAGCAATAAAGAAAAGACATATTGCGCGGCTACATCGTCGACACCTTTGCCTCGATCCATCGCAACATCCGTTACCACCACCAGTTCCACGGGTACAATAACGAAACTACCCTTTCCGGCCAGTCCTATCGTCCCCTCGTCTGCATTTTCTCTCGATAATTCGCCTAGAATTTTGAAACGTCCCGATACCACCAATTACACCGTATCCGAGGATGTCACTTGGAAAGCGGCATGTGCTTCCGCTGAAATTCTCTTGGAAGCATTAAACGTGAAAAAAGATACTGATTCGAAGAAGAAAGAAAGCCAGTTGACTGACGTTAGCGAGGAACCGGAACGTATAAAAGAAAATGATAACGGCGACTCGACGTCGCAGCTAACGCGCAACCAAGAAAAATTAAAAGAAACCTTCGCGAAAACTGTGAAAGATGACAAAGATGTTTGCGGCGGTGTTTCAAGTTACGAAGCGTCCGAGGA